AAAAAAAAAACATTTTTTTTAATTGTCTTTTTGAGAGAGCGAGGGAGAGAGAGAGTTTCTGGGGGGAGGGGCAGAGAGAGTTGGGCAGAGGATCCAAAGCGGGCTCTGTGCTGACAACAGACAGCCTGATGTGGGATTCAAACTCACGAACCGCGAGATCATGACATGAGCCAAAGTCGGACGCTTAACCGACTGAGCCACCCAGGTGCCCCGAGGAACGTATTTTAGAAGAAAGATAAAAATGGAATTAGAATCCAGAAAAGGATGTCTAAAATGAGCATGAGAAACAGTGGATTAATGTATACGGACAAGTCAAAATATACAGCATGGGATGACAGCAGGCAGAAAAGTAACCAACCATTTTTAAATATAAGCAAACATGGGCGTATTCATCGTGAACAAAGAGAATGGATACATTGTGGAGAGGCAAATTTCTGACAATCAGGAGGAAAAAAATGGTCCTTTCTGTGGTAGACAGAATACTGTTGTCTTCCCCTGCCCCCGCCCTGGCAGATATTCGTATCTTGATTTCTGGAACCTGTGAATAGGTTAGGTTACAAGGCAAAAGGAACTTTGTAGATGTGGTTACTTGAAGAATCTCCAGACGAAGACATTAGCCTCAATTATCCAGCTGGGCCCAATGGAATCATAAGGGTGCTTTTAAAGAGGCAGCAGGAGGGGCGGCTCTGGGGCAGTTCTGTCGATTGTGGCGCAGCTGGATTCGTGTGCAGCCGGGAGCCACGGAATGTGGGCGTCTTCCAGAAGCTCTAAAGGGTAAGCAAATCGGTTCTCCCTCCTATAACCCCCAGAAGGAACGCAGCCTTCCCAACACCTCGATTTTAGCCCAGTGGGAATCATTGTGGATTCCTGACCTGCGTAACCCTAAGGTAACACGTTTGTTTTCTTTCAAGCCACTGCTTTTGTGGTAATTTGTTACAATAGCGGTAGCAAACTAACATACTGCGGTTCGTGCATTCGTGCAGCTCCTGTTGGAGCCGTCGACCCGCAGTTCTGTTGCACCAAACACACGCCTTTGCATGAAACACCTCTTCGATGCATCTACCCGGATCCTATCTTGCTCTTCAGGACTCACTTCCCTTTGGCATCTTTGCCAGCACTGAGCTCCTCGACCGTCCACTACCCCCTCAACCTGCCTACTTTTAGCCCGTATCACACTCGACTTGCCGTCGTGGACAACTGTATTCCTGTTGGGGCCACTTTGCCAAGTTCTTGCCTAATAAGTGGCTTCATTACTCGGTACGCAGTTGTTTGCTAGGTCTTTCCACCAATACAGCAAGCTGGCAGAGAAGAGGCCTGCTCCCCTGTATGTCTACCCACGTTTCATGCACAGTGCTCCCACCCCACCCCCCAAATAGCATCAAATTCATGCTCATTGGAGAAGAGGAAGCAGTCTCTTTTGTAGCCAATTAGTTCTCAGTAAATAAGCAAAAGGGGAAATGCCCGCGATATTTTATTATAATGCACTTTAGGATACTTACATGCTCTCCGAAAATAAGCTCATTCAGTTATTTGTCTCCTGAAGGGAAACGCTGAATAGCCCTTGGCTCTAGTCAGAAGTAGTTGCTTTTTCATACTGCTGGTCTTTCACTTCACCCACCAGATGCGGTATCCAACCCAGCAAAAGGTAACCGTTTGACGTACATTAATTGGACGCCTACTGTGTGTAAATACCCTTTGAGACCAGAGAGACAAATGAGTAAATCAAAGCTTAAGTTCTTGGCTGGGTGTGAAAATACGCAAATATTATCAAGCAAAACACCGAAGAAAAAACGATGCAGCATCAGGGTCAAGGGACTCATGAGTTCTCTTCCCCTCGAACAGCCAAACCAGTCTTTCATGAGAAAAACATGGTGATCAATAGGAAAGCAGGTGGTAATACTTGAGGAGTAGGACTTTGCATTTTAACAGGACTGAATTCAAATCCAGGTTCACCACGCATGGTTTGACCTCCCGCAAGTTCCTTAACTCTCCCTGAGCCCCGCTGGCTCACCTCTAAAAAGGGGATGATAGGCATTTTCTTTCGTAGGTGATGAGAATTCTCTAATTCGTGCAAATACGTAACATGGTGCCAGACACATAGGAAGCAATGAATAAAGAGCAGCTGTTACCTTGATAAATTTAAAACTGTGGATACCACAGCTGAATAATGAGTTCACAACCGGGTTTCCTTATTCCATATTGCATGTTGTAAAACATTAATGTATAAAAATAAATACTGAGAAATGCAGAAGGTGGTGTTTTGCTTCCGCCAGATCCCTTCGTCCGTATGAAGAGCTCATTTCCCCAGCACCTGCTTCCCCAGCACTTGGGGAGTTTGGCCCTGAACTGAACTGCCTCGGCTCAAGTGACGCCCCCTTCTGGTCAAGCTGGAGAACCAAAGCCAACCCTCTAATTTCGGTTTGGATCTATTGTGAAGGGCCATCCCAGCTTCCGTGCTCCCTGAGACGGCCTGAGGCCTCTTTGGAAACCTTTTCTGTTTCCTCCCGGTCCCTTAAGTCCAGCGAGCATCCAGCAAGGGGCCACGCACTCCTGAGGAGCGCGGTTGACAAACTGTTTAGGTAAAAGGACAGATAACGTTTGAGACTCCGGTGGGCCAGACGCCCTCTGTCTCATTTACTCACCTCCGCCATTCTAGCGTGAAAGCAGCCATCAACAATACATAAATGAATGGGTACGGCTCATTTACAAAAAAAAAAAATTCTTTGGGGTGCCTGGGTGGCTCAGTCACTTAAACATCCGATTTGGGCTCAGGTCATGATCTCCAGGTTGGTGAGTTCGAGCCCCATATTGGGCTCTCTGCTGTCAGAACACACCCTGCTTCTCTGCTTTGGATACTGTGTCCCCCTCCCCCACGCACACGCGCTCTCTGAAAAATAAACATTTAAAAATAGGTACACTCTTTGCTTGGTTTTACCTTTTTTAAAGGCGAGAAAAATTCTTAGCTCGTGGGGCTTCAAAAAGGGCGTACCTAGATTTATTGTAGTCATTTTGCAATAGATACAGGGACGCATTGCAATTTGCATACAGCGCAAGAGATACATGTTACACACCTGAAACGAATGTAATGTGCTAGGTCACTTACATCTTAATTTTTCAAAAGCAGGCATCAGGCTAGATGGGGCCAGTGAGTCGTGTTTTGCCATCCTGTGTGGCTAGAAGAATTGGGTAGAGCAATGAGGTGTTCATGACGCCACCGTTCTAGTGCTTGTATTGACAGAATGGGCTATCATGAGGCCCTAGAACATACAACCTTGCTGGGAGGACACAGAAGACCCCTGCCTGGCTCCAGACGGGTCAAGGGAAGAATGGAGAAAAAGATGAGGGGCGTGTGGAATTCCCATTCCTAACTTCTTTTGAAGCTTAGTACCACCAAGAAAATCATACAGAGCAAAGTAAAAGGAATTGTCTAGTATTCACAGTGTGAACATCGCGGGCCCGGCTGGCTCAGTCAGTGGATCACGTGACTCTTGATTTCACGGTTGTTAGTTCAAGCCCCACATTGGGTAGAAAGGTTACTTAAAAATAAGATCTCTTTTTAAAAAAATAACGATGTGCTATTTTCCATTTGGAACACTTCGTCTTCACTAATAAAACTAGGAGGTGAGAGTGGCTGTTTCATGACTGTTGCTAAGTAATCATTAAAAAAAAACAATTTGCAATTTGCTACTGTTTGAATGTTTATAAAGAGTTATAAATTTTAAATGATAGGCTGTAAAAAACAGAAAAGAAGTAGAAACATATTTTCAAGACTGTTTCAACTGGTCTTTCTACCCATATACAGCACCCTTCTGAAGTCCATTTCTCTCAAGAAAAAAAAAAAACTTGGAGGAATTAATTCGGATAACAAACAATAACTCTTTACCCTGAAACCTCTGCATTTTTGTCTTTCCGTGGTGGATATTCTTCTTTGGCTGGGCTGCTTTTTCATCTCGTCTGCTCTTTAAGTGAATCATACATTTACTTTTTGGATCTTTTTTTTTATGTTTTTATTTATTTTCGAAGGAGAGAGAGAGAGAGAGACAGAGCATGAGCGGGGGAGGGGCAGAGAGAGGGGGAGACACAGAATCCAAGCAGGCTCCAGGCTCCCAGCCGTCGCACAGAGCCCGACGTGGGGCTGAAACTCACAAACCGCAAGATCATGACCTGAGCCGAAGTTCGAGGCTTAACTGACTGAGCCACCCAGGCGCCCGCGGATCATATTTATTTGTGCTTTGTTGCTATACGACCTTTGCTTTGCAATGAGTCGTTCTGGATGCTCTTCCCACATGCCTTCATTACGTGCAATAGTAAGAGATTTCCTTTGAATTCACACTTGACCTCTGTCCAACCTTGCTTTTTTTAGCTCTGGACTCCCCTTCACCCCCACCTCCTGCACATTCTCAGAATAAATGAAGGAAGTGTTGCTCTCATTTGGAGGAGTCGAGAAGAAGGGCCGCCAGCCTTCTCTCTATGGATTGACGTTGCTGTACTGAGAAATACGGAGACTAGGTGTGCTAATTTCACCCGACACCAGCTGTAATAGGCAGTTAATGACTATGTCCTTGGCTTTGGAGGTCTCCAGATTCTTCTCTCTGGACACTTGGAGACTAATTTGATCCACACTTGTCATGATGAGTTCAGACGCCAGAATCTGGGTGGGAGAACTGTCATGAAACTCAATGTCCATAATGTACTGCTTGTATAATTCTACCAGCTTCTGCTCCAAGTATTCGTTCAGCACTGCGTTAGAAACTGGCTTCTGCATTTGCAGGCTGCTTTTCTCTTTGACGCTGGTTATTCTCCAGTACGACGAATACCTCTGGATAGGTTTCTGGGGAAAGTCGCTAGGCTGAGTGGGAATGGAATCCTCCATGGGCAAAGGAATCTCAGATGATTTCAGCAAAGGGCCATAGTCAAAACTGCTCTCAGGGGGGAAATCTGTCGTCACTGAATTAATAGCCATCACCTGGTCACCTGCAATATGTAAGTCATTGTAATTCTTGCAAATACTCTTACAGGAAGGTGGAACCAAGTAGGTCTCTCTGCTCGAGTCTCTACATATTTCCACTGCAGCCAAGCTGGGGCTTTCAAACACGGGATTGGGGTTTGTCTGCAGCATTATGGTTCTCTGCTTTCCACTGTGTTGGCTCTCTCGCGCGTGCACTGAAGACATAAACTTGTCTGAGGATTTGCAGCTCACGTACAGACTTCGGACTTGAGTCTCATCCACAGAGCAATAGGAATGAGTGGCAGATTTTGTCTCTTCTTCCTCCTCAGCCACCTGCTCATTATAAGATGAACAGCTCCAGTGGATGTCCTTCTGGTAGGCAAGTCCGCTGAGATACCCTTCTGACAGCATCCTGCAAAGAGAGTTGATAAGTAACGACGGGGAAAATGAAGATTGGAATTGTGGAAAAAAAAAAAAAGGTAGTTGATAGATGAAAGATGACAATAAAGGAAGTGATTCATTCATCCACCACACCATTAATAATTAGGTGCCTGCTGTGTGCCAGAACTATGGCATATGCTAGAGATCAAAAGATGAGTAGGACATAGTCCTGTCTTTCAAGAAGGTTCTACCAGGCGACAACAACTGGGGGACAAACAATGCCAATGAGATATCACTGAGAATTCTAACAGGGATGGGCACCATGGAAGTCCAGAAAGGGGCCCCTAACACAGCCTGGGGCAAAGGCAGAGAAGTCAAAGAACGTGTCCTAGAGAAGGTGGCCTTTTAGCTAAATGGTGAAAACTAAGTGGGAGTTTCAGCCCCACACAGAGTTCAAAGAGAATATGGTGGCATAGCCTGTTCACCATATACCAAGATGCTGAATATAAGCAGAAGGGGCTGGGAAAGAGATTGGATTTGGGGCCTGGAGTGCCTTGGGAGTCAGAGGCGGCAGAGTTTGCCTTCTGCCCCAGAGAAAATGGAGAATGAGAAGCTGCAAAGCGGGGAAGCGGCTAGTGCGTTATAGGGAAAACGTTGAGAAACCTGTGGCACCTTCTGCTGAAAAGGGCTGTGTTTTACTCCTCTTTGTATTTATCCCTGGGAGCTAGCACAATTGTTTGCATTTTTGTAGCGACTTAAAAGATATTGGTGAACTTCAATTAAATAATGGACAGCACTGGCAGATAGGAAAATAATTCACTACCAGCCCGTCACGAAGGACGGGGGAGCCTCCCCCACCTTTGCAGCCCGGGATAAGTTTCTTGCTCTCTCCCACCTGCTTCTCACCATACCATATCCTAGAAATGTCTGTCCCCAGCTGATCTGTCTTCCTCTCCCCTAGTTACCAGGGAGCTTTCCTGACCTCGGGCTTTGGCTACACCCGCCTCCCCTCCCCACGCTCCACGGTTGTCCCTGGAGTCTGGAGTGGCTAGAACAGGCTGGAAACTAGCAGCTGCATTTGCTAAAAAAGGAACGCTGTGGCATTTTGAGCCTGAAATTGAAAAGTGAAATTAGGAAATAATTGTATCTTAACAGAGGGTCCTATTTTTACGTTTTACTGTCTTATGTAGTCAGAGTCATTTCCCAAGGGAATTTTTAATTGTGTCAGGGTAATATTATAAAAAGAATATGATTAAGAAAATTAGTATAATTGTTTTAATTTTATAAAGGTCGTACCGTCAGTGTTTATTTTCCCTTTTGGAACTACCTGGAGATCTATTCAGTAAATATATCAATTAAATGGTTACTATATTCTACCCACTGTTAGATACCACAAAGATACAAAGTTAAAGGTTTTCCACAAATCTGTGAGGTAATTCTTATATGCTAGACATAATTATAAGAAAAAAGAAAATGTTTCCTGAAGAAGCTTTCTACGTGTAGTTCTGCCTGCAAACTGAACATCAAGATGAAAAGGCAAATCTCACATACACGAGAAGCAGATAATTTTCAGGGCAAAAGAGTCTATCCTAAAGGCTTAACGGTGATAGTTAGCGACTCGACTGCAGCTGGGGACTTCAACCTTCAAGGTCTCAGAACATCATTGTGGAAAACCAGATTACTCCTGAAATCATTGTTGTACTATATGCTAACTAATTTGGATGTTAATTTTAAAAAATAAAAAAATAAAAAAAAAATTTTTTTAATTAAAAAAAAAATTCCGAAAAAAAAAAAAAACAACGTAACTCTCTCCTTTCGAGTTCATGAACAAGCTCCTGGAGCTCTGGGCAGAATTCAGTTTTAAATTTTTTTTTTTTTTTAATTTTTGGGACAGAGAGAGACAGAGCATGAACGGGGGAGGGTCAGAGAGAGAGGGAGACACAGAATCGGAAACAGGCTCCAGGCTCCGAGCCATCAGCCCAGAGCCTGACGCGGGGCTCGAACTCACGGACCGCGAGATCGTGAGAATTCAGTTTTAGAAAAATGGCTTTTGGGACAACATGGCTTGAGCTTTTCAACTTGAGAACCCAGAGCCCCCAAAGGATTCAGGGCACGGTATTTATGCATCAACAGCAGGCTAGTGGGTATAATCCCCCATGGATGAAGGTAGTATGGCTCCAGGTAGGTTTGGGAAGAGACGAGCTCTGTGCCCTACCTCCCACATAGGATCTGGGGAAGCAGAGAATCTGAGGGAATTCTGTCCTCTTCAGTATGGCGTGGGAGAAGGAGGAGAGCCAGCCACGTCGATTGTTGGAGTGGACAGGCCTGCGGTGGCCTCCTCACGTCTGCTCACGAACCGGCATGCCACCCAGAGCCTCCAAACCTGGAGAAGACCAAGATTTGGGGTGGGAAGATTGCAGACACATCTATAGACTATTCACCAGGGACTACTGAATGATAAGTTTCCATGGATGCCAGTATGACTGCATGTTGACAACCAAACATGGCCGCACTTCCATATCCATCACTGACCCTATAGCTCTATGCGAACAAGCTAGAATTTACAGGGGAACCCAAGGAGGAGGGAGCCCTGAAGTGACTAAAGAAATCCTGATTGGCAGTGATCACTCAGGAGACTGTGAGCTCAAAAGCAAGATCAAATTGAGGTAGAGGAAAGCAAAGATCTCCAGGAAAATACAGGAAGTAAGGCCTATTTATGTATTTTTTTTCTTTTTCCCCCAAACTTTAATAAAACAACAGTAAACTATTTGAAACGTTAATATTCAGAAGAAAAGTGAGAACAGAAGAGACAAGCTCAATAACGTTTCAGAAGCTGAAAAGAAGGAAGCCAAAGGTTAATGTCTTTGGAGACCTGAGAAAATTGATTCTTTTTTTTTTTTTTTTAATTTTTTTTTTTTCAACGTTTATTCACTTTTGGGACAGAGAGAGACAGAGCATGAACGGGGGAGGGGCAGAGAGAGAGAGGGAGACACAGAATCGGAAACAGGCCCCAGGCTCTGAGCCATCAGCCCAGAGCCTGACGCGGGGCTCGAACTCCCGGACCGCGAGATCGTGACCTGGCTGAAGTCGGACGCTTAACCGACTGCGCCACCCAGGCACCCCGAGAAAATTGATTCTTACAAGAACCATGGAAAATTCCAAGAGCCAGTCTTGTTGAAATTCCCCTGCATGTTCAGGAGTTGGTGGTCCCATGTACCTTTTGGGAATAGGGTTCTCTAACTCATTCCCTCCCTATAACCAGGTGACCATCTCCCCTTCTCAACCCCAAAGGAAAAGTTGAAATATGTTCTCTGAAGAATAAAATACAGAGTCTTGGGAGTATGGGATACCAACTGAGGGTAGAATTACCCAATAATAGAGTACGTAAACGTATGCATGTTGGATTGTGAGATCCACGACCTCCCCTCTTAGCTTCCAGAATGCTGGCACAGGAGCATCCACGTTGTAGGTGGGATTTGGAGAAGGCTGTTCTGGGGAAACTGGACTAGTCTGAGGAGAAGAGCAGTTGACCCCAGAGGATCCACAACTAAATGTGGCATCCAGAGCACCCTCATTCAAGTTTACAATCACAAGAGCCCACTGAGCCTTTTGGATCTCCATTCTCAACTGTGGGTAGAATGTTGAAATATCCAAAGAAAGCTCTGAATGAGAGAGACAGAAACAGCCACTTAGAGGAGTGAATTCTGGGTGGGTGGAGCATGAACTACTGTCAATAATCTCAAGGGGAAAGGTTAGTAACATTACAATCTTTAAAATTAGGATGCTATAAAAAAAAACATTCTGAACCTCTTACAAGTTAAAAATGTTAGAGAATTTTAAAACTCAGTAGAAAGATTGAAAGACAAAGTTGAGGCAAACTCCCATTTTCAAAGAAGAACAAAAATACAAGATGAAAAATAGTAGAGACAAAACGAGAAAACCAGTCCAGGAGATTCATTATCTGAGCACTAGAAGGCTCAGAAGGAAAAGAAGAGTGAAATTTACACAGTTAAAGAGTATTTTCCACAACGAAAGGATGTGAGTCTACAAAATACTGGATAAATACCCATTTTTCCTATACTTCCCTTCTTGTTATTGTAAAATGAACACTTGGGAAAAAGAGAAAACACTCTACGTTTCCAGAGAGAAAAAAGAAGAAAAAAACCTAAGACCCAGAATGTTTAGACTTCTCCACAGCAACATGAGAAGCAAGAAGATTAAGTAACAATATCTAAAAAGTTTTAGGGGCGCCTGGGTGGCGCAGTCGGTTAAGCGTCCGACTTCAGCCAGGTCACGATCTCGCGGTCCGTGAGTTCGAGCCCCGCGTCGGGCTCTGGGCTGATGGCTCAGAGCCTGGAGCCTGTTTCCGATTCTGTGTCTCCCTCTCTCTCTGCCCCTCCCCCGTTCATGCTCTCTCTCTGTCCCAAAAATAAAATAAAACGTTGAAAAAAAAAAAATTAAAAAAAAAAAATAAAAAAATAAAAAGTTTTGAAAGAGGGTTGCCTGGGTGGCTCAGTTGGTTAAGCGTCTGACTCTTGGTTTCACCTCAGGTCATGATCTCACGGTTTCGTGAGTTCGAGCCCCACATTGGGCTCTGTGCTGACATCATGGAACCCGCTTGGGATTCTCTCTCACACTCTCTCTCTCTCTGCCTCTCCCCAGCTCATGCTGTCTCTGTCTCTCTCAAAAATAAATAAATTTTTAAGAATCATTTAAAATTTTTGAATGAAATTTGTATTCAATCTAGAATCTCCTGACCAAATTATCAATCAAGTAGATGGATAAAATAGAGATTTTTTTTAAGTTTATTTATTTTTGAGGAGGAGCCCAAGCAGGAAAGGAGCAGAGAGAGAGAGCGAGGGAGAGAGAGAATCCCAAGCAGGCTCCGCATCGTGAGCAGAGCCTGACGCCGGGCTTGATCTCGCGAACCGTGAGATCATGACCTGAGCTGAGACCAAGAGTCAGATGCTCAACTGACTGAGACACCCAGGCGTCCCCAAATAATAGAGACATTTTTTTTTTTTAAGCACA